GCGAACGGCTGGACCTCAACCCCAGTTGGTTAGTGGATATTACGCCCACCAAGACACCTGTAAACCATAGAATCGATCCCTGTTGGCGTCCTCGGAAACACACTGATTAAGTAGTCTCGTACTAGGAGAAGACAGGGGTTCGCTATTGCCAGGCATTGAATGGTTCTCTAAATGATGTGAGTTCATGGTGAATGCTACCTTGAAATAAAAATAAGCTGGTTGAGAAACTATTGTAATAAGATTTTTCTCTGTTTTCCCCTCGTATTTTAATAGACTTATAAGAAGGAGCTACATTAGTCCTACTGAGAAGCATCTGTCTACCCGAATGTTTGATCATCTCTCTAAGTGGCTGAGGCGTGCTTGACAGAAGACTCAGCGCATATGCATGATATTGATACTTGTAAGTCATTCTCGGTTATCAGAAGAAAGCTAAAAAAGAAACTGCTTGCAACTGCGGAAGCCTGATTTGCTGTTTGCCCTCAACTAACAACCATATCTTATATTTTTGTTTTCCCTTCCTGATTTACTTCGCCCAATTAACCTTATTCCCATTACCGTCATTATTATTATCCATCTCAATACACACCTGGTTTTGTTTCAATATTGTCTTGATTGACTGCTATTTTGTTATGAATAACTTAATCAACCCTTAACCGATTCAGTTCTCACTCGTGTCAACATTATTATCATCACTGTTGATACTGGGTGGTGGTTGAAAGTGGGATGAGAATCTGGGCAGCCATAGGATTCAAACCAGAGACTTCCTACCTTTTGCCTTACCACTCGACCTATAAAAATTGTTCATTTCTTTTATAACCCTGTTAACACTTGTTATATTCCTATAGTGACCACTTTGCATAGCCTGAACTGTATATAAGAGTGTGAGCAGTTGAACAATAGCCTTCAGATTCCAACCCTTACTGGTCGCTCAGTTTCTTGATAAATGAAAAAGGCGATAATATAAACAAGGCGTAATGCACAGTTGAAAATATGTAAGCAATACAAGCGACTTTAAAAGCTACCCTAGCAACTGCTGAGATAACCATGTAAGTTTCAATATTTTATTCAGAAACTACCTTTCCAGCTGGAACACGGAAAATTGATTGGTTAATATGGGTGACCTTAATGGCCACCCTAGCAATTAATGAGACAGCCAATTGCATTCCTTTATTCTAATGGAAAAGTACTTTTACAGGTGAAATACCGAAGCCTGATTGGTCATTTCTGTAGTTATTAAAGTGGCCTTTAAAGTTACTCAGCTATTTCTCGATTTGAATCCTGTGGATTTTTCATATCTTCAAGTAATCTGATATTCACACCTTGGTTTATAAGCTTACTCTCGAAACTTTTGGGCAAAACAATTGGTTAGAACAGTCTCCAGACATTTATGGTTTTTATACTGTTTCTATGTTGTCAAATCTAAATCGATGTTTCATTTTACATTACACATGTATGCATGTTTGTTTCCCTGGTTTGTTTGGTGGTATATATAATGAAGTTTTGTACAGTATCCACTTGACAAGTACTACTGAAATTTATGAATACATTAAATCTGGCGTTTTTCTCATTCATCATTTGTTTTGAATTTGTGTCATGGAACAAGTGTTTTCAATCTTTAAGATTCTGATATTAGAAATAGGCTACATTTATGTAAATCACAGTGCTTTTGAAATGAAATGACTCCAACGTCGTTCTGCACGAAAATTTATGTCGTGGTTCTTCATTCCTACCATCTTCATGTTATTCCTCTGTATTAATCAGTCACCCAACACATAGAAACCTTCTCTTTTTCCATGTACGACTTACTTTAACACTTACAATTTACACCTAAATTCAACTATAATTTGTAATTTTAGGTGTTCCAATGTGGAACTTCTCACTATGTCGCACCCGCGACCCTTTAGATCTCGCAGCGTGCATGTTAATCATTCATTTACTGGATCGTAATTCAGTTGTTTGCCACTTCCTACTATTGTCACTTTACGATATGGTAAGACTATCCACTACCTGGGATGAAAAGGTCGTCCAATGCTGGTAGGCTTTCAGTGGTTCTTACCCTAATGTCATTGTGCGATGAAAACTATACTATTATTCTCAAATTCTAACCAATTTAACTATAGTTTCATATCTATTTTTAATTGCTTTCGCTGGAAATTTAATTGTTAATATGTTAACAAATTTGAATTCATGACCGTAGAACCTGATGAGAAGTTACTGATAAGAATATCCTTCATTCATGTTTGACTTTTAACTCATGAAACACCTTCACTAAATTTCTAGGATATTGTGAGAAACACTCGCTAGTCTAAGCGATTTTGCCTTTTTAGATTATGATAATTTAATTGTACTTGTTACTGCATCTTTTGCCTAAGTTTCAGTATTCGTAACCATTTTGACTGTTTTATGATAACTACGGTGTTTCAAGTCTTTATATGTATTACTGTATTACTTTCATGAATCAAGCATGTTCTACAATAATCTTGTTACTTGTATTATCCTGTCTTTGAGTGGAAAGAACTGATCAGTCTTTATAAGCATATGGGCCCGTGAATGGATACCTGGACATTTATCCTACTGTAATTATATATTATTGATAAATATTGACTAGTAGCGGAATCCTGGATGCACGTTTCGTCCTATTTCGGACTAGTCAGCTGTATGTATCTGCCTTCCAGTTAGCAATGTCTAGGCTTTAGAAAGGTCAGTGGGAGAAAACATCTGCGCCATTGTGACTGGTTTTTATTCATCTCACCAAGAGGCCTCAGTTACTGATTTCTTTCATTTCAAGGACCTCAGTCAGTAGGCTTACATCTCCTTAGATAACTCAGACCAACTGTAAGAGAGTTCATTAACTGGTGTTACGCCTTAGTCTGGCCACTTTGAACCCTCTTCCAACCTAATCCAACTTCTCCGGCATGACACATCAAGGTAGGTGGTTGCTAGGCATGTGCAGTAGATGTCTTAGCCATTTCAACCGACTAAAGTTGACAACACCGTCAGTCGACCTGACTATACTGCCTAGTACCCTTTCGTCCGAGCCCGACGTTGCTCATACGGGGACTCAGCCGAACGTAAACAATGCCACGAAGATATCTGAGATCGAGACGCTGTAATAGCTTCATGTCCTCTACTTTTAACGGCCATGTCTCAATGCTGTATAACAGGAAAGAATGAACAGCAGCACAATATACTCGTCATTTGATAGGTAGTGGGATCTCTCACCTACCCTACAGGTAACGTAAGTTGGCAAATACTAAACAGGCTTTGTGAATGTGGGCTGAGATTTTAGCAGCTACCAGCCCATTCGAGTTGATGGAACATCCTTAGTAAGTGAACTGTTCGATGCATCCTATCACTAAACTAGGAGTAATTGGAGTACACCAGTCCTGGAGCATAATCTTACATTTGGTAGGTGCAAAATCCATGACAAGCAAACTCAGATTTCAGTCTGATGAGATCAGAAGACTCTTCATATTCTCAGCATCCTCACTTGACAAGACAGTATCGTCTCCATACTCCAGGCCGACCAGATGACTTCCGGGGAATTGATCAATTCTTGTGGAGAATCATTAACATTACTGAGCGGATTGTCTATGTTCTCGCAAAGCACACACAAAAAGTAATCATCTGAGGATCGCATACAGTTTATCAACCTGCATATTCATCCGGAAATTATTGTTTTAAAAAACAGGTTATTGGCCAGTAATCTAGATAGAAATACGCTAGCATATACGATTCACATTCAGGTAACGACAAATTTACATATATCCACTGAATTCAGTCCACATATTGTCTATCTTTAAGTATACGCTGGCCCGCGGAAAAGAACTAAGAAGAGTTAGATTTCGCCGATGACTTATGTCTAATGTCACACAAATTTGAAGACCTACAGGCGAAAACTAACAAGTTGGCAGAAGAGGTAGGGTAGCGAAGACTGGACTTCAAGTGAATGTAGAGAAGACAAAGGTGATGAAGATACCGCACCAACAACTCCAACAACAACAACAACAAACTCCAATCACCATCAATGGGAGAAACTTAAAAGGAGTAGTCTGTTTCATCTATCTAGGCAGCATCGTTTCAACTACAGGTGGTGGCGGCACAGACGAGGACGTCAAAGTCAGGATCGGAAACATAGCAAGACAGACATTCATTATCCTGAAACCAGTGTGGAGATCTTCTGCACTCCACTCAGCATGTGGAACAAAATCCGGATTTTCAACACCAACGTCAGTCAACTCAGTGCTTCCATGTGATGGTTCACAGACTTGGCGCATTACGAAAGGCATTTCCAACAAACTACACACATTCATCAACAACTACCTACGCTGGCTCATTAGTGAAGATGAGATGGCCAGAAAGAATAAGCAACAAGGGACTCTGGCTGGCTGGCTGGCAACGAACCAACGAAGCAAGAACCTATCGATGAACAAATATGCAGAAGAAAGTGGAAGTGGAGATGGACTGCGCATACACTGAGAAGGCCGAGTGGGAACACCACGAGCCAGGCACACAAGTGGAACTCAGATGGGAAGTTACGAATTGGCCGTCTGAGGCGATTGTGACATGGAGGAGATCGTCCGAGGAAGAAATGAAAGGTTGTGGGCTGTGGTGGAACCAGTTTCAAAAGTTTGCAGAGAAGAGAGTGTAATGGAGACGTGCTAGTGAAGCCGTATGTTCCATTAAGAACCCAAAGGACAAACAATAATAATAATAATATCTATCTTTCAGTTAAAATATATTCCGTTCTACACAAGTAACCATTTGGTAATCTTATTCAACACTTGTATTAATAAATATACATATATGTAACCGCTTATGTTGATTTCCCCGCATTCACAATCGAAAAGGCATTGTTTTAAACACCACATGTACAGTTGAAGGTCATTCTTTAAAAACGAAAATGAATGTCTCAAATATATATATATATATATATATATATATGTAGTTATGTTTAGAAAACACTATGAATATTTAAATCATCTACAAATCTACACGTACATTAGGAACACATATACGACACTGGAGACCATTAGCTCCTTTTTTTTTTTTACAATGATCATACACAATTTATTTGGATGACTTTTCTCGAATAGATACTTTTATGTCACAAAAACTAATATTTCACTCTCTATTTTGTCATTGGAAGTAGAATTAGATCACATAGAGAACAACAGTGGAGTATGGTAATGATAAATTAATGAATGACGGAAATAAGACAATGGCAGCTTAGAAAACAGGTGTCATGTTATCCACTATGTATAAAATAAGTCAACTCTACTACAATTATTTAGAGTCATATATGTATCAGTTATTGATTTTCCGGGTGACCTTGAACCATGAATATGATTTGAATACGAGAATGATTATTTGATTGTATTATCGGTAATGTATAAGAGATATTAAACGGTTATTTTAACGAATAGTATTGATATATTCAATTGCAGTGTGTAAAGGTTGGAAGGGGGATGGAGGAAACAGTTACGAAAAGTAGAACTTTCAAGCAAGGAAATTCTGTAATTCAACCAAGAAAAATACATATCTATATATATATATACGCATTCATACACTATCAAATATAGATACGTAAGCGTATATTTGTTAATGTTTATGTAAATTGTGTATATAAATATATTTCAAAATGATCTACACCAAACTTTGTTCATTCTTTCTTGTTGTAAAATGTTTTCGAAAAAATTTCACGACACTATTTGTTGGTAATTTCAATCCTGTAATTGAAGATTTATGCTTTGGTGAATTATGGGAACTTTTTCTCTGTAATCCCATACGATCAAGTCGTTCTCGTTCACGTTGAACATTTTGTTGTTGTTCTTTTATAGCTATCAAGATACCAACGAGTAGATCATTTACACGATGATTCAATGAAGTTGATATCTCATAGAAACTACATGAATAGATTTGAGCTAAATTCTTTCCATCTGTTAGTAAAAGGAGACAATAGAGAAAGACGGATATTAGAAAAAAGTGACTTGAACGTCGTATTATACACATATACCTGCCTTGGTCGTATTGTGTTCTCTGAGAAAGGTTGTTTAATCCTGAAGCTTTCATCATCTTTCTCCTGGATGACATCATCAGTACTAACTTCAGTATGAAGCCAGCTGTCAATATCTCTCCACGAGTGATTTAGTGGCTTGCTCTGACGATGTGGTCTGTGATTGGTTGTTTCCTTCGATTGTTGTGTCATTGACTGTATAGCCTTTCCTGTTGACTGTTCGTCTACTTGACCTCTCACCTTTCTGTCGTTTATCACTTTTCTTATTGACTGATAGATTGGGTCTATATCTATACATCTATTGATTGTTGACTGACTAACCTAAATGCCAAGCTTCTAGGAATTCCCTAATATTCTTTGTGTTTCCTCTATCCAAAATTTATACATTGTCAAAATTGAATTTATATCCATGATTATCCACGTGCTTTGAAATGAGTGACGAAATGTCGTGGCGTTTAATGGCCAATCAGTACTCATGTAGACGAAGTCAAAGAGGGCGGCCACTTTGTCCAATGTATTGTTGACTACAGTTATTCCAGTTGGTTTTGTAAATGATATTCGGTTTGTCTTCTTCGCTTGTCGCATACTTTGGTCTGCATAATAGTGTTTGGAGGGAATTTGTTGGTTTATGAGTCAGCCACACCGATTCCAAGTGGTGTCAGTAATCTTGTTGTGATTTCTGATACATTCTTTATGTATGATAGGACGATGCATTTGTTGATTTCTGTAGGTGACTTTGTAGTTGGTGATGCAGTGAAGTTAGTGCTGATGATGTCCTCTTAGAAAGACGATGAAAGCTTCACGATTCAACAACCCTTCTCAGAGAACAGAATACAACTAAGACCATCCACCTGAGCTACAAATATTCTCCATTATACATATACCTGCATTTTAGTCCGTTTATTAGAAATGTCACACATCGAAAGTGGATATGAATAGCAGTAATAACAATGACAGTTTGGAGAGAGAATTAAAAGCCTTTACTATGTTTCAATATAAAGAAGGCACATCGGAAGCGTTATGAAGACCAGCATTAATATGGCATTTAAACCGACGAACTAGCTTGGAAACAAGCTTTGGACGTCAGAAGATCATACTAATCCAATTAGGCAGAATAGTCTAATTTGTCTATTGCAATTATTACGACGTTAAATACAGAGGTCAAATTACTCGACCAGGATCAATTAGAATAACATAGCACAACAACTAAGCTAAATCAAGATTAGTAGACCGTAGTAAGACAAGAAATGTAGAGAAAAGCTTGACTGTAGATATGCACGCATTTGCACAAAATCACAGAATAGGATAAAATAGAGCCATAGTATAAAAAGCTAAGTTTGTTGGGTGGAGGGAGAGATGATAACCGAAACTCTGTTTATTGAATCAACACGAAATACGTGCAACAGAAAGGATTCTGCACCTATACCAGACATATAGAAAGTTCTACTACTCTTATCACAAAGAAGTAGAGAAGATTAGAACTATATAAACTCTGTCTCAAAGTCGTAGAGTTACATTATATAAACTACGTCCGAAACGTTATCCAGTAAATGAGACTGAATCTCTGTATGATATTTCTAGTTAACAGACTAAAATGAAATTGCAACCTATTATAGTGCCCAAATTTTTATCCCGTTATTGATTTTATCCATTAGGTAACCAAAATTCTTTATAAATTCGCCGTTACACAATCTTACTTGAAAGACCAATGAAATGTGCAAATAAATTTCAATATTTAGGTTCATGTAATCATTTGACATGTGTTTCTATTGAGAGATTCTGTATATGTCAGCAACCACTTATACGCGTTAGATAAGTAGTGGTTGATATGACTCAGTGTATCCGATTTCCAGCATACTTCATAAAATACTCGAACTTTTCAGTTAAATCTTTCAATAAAACCTACCAGCATTAGTATATGTGTGTGAGCAGATTAACTTATTCGTGAATATAAACCCGTTGCTTCCGAATCATCATCTCAACACTTTATCAAGCGACCTAAGAAAACCATTGGTTAGCTAGTTAACAATGACCACCCGTACCGATCACGTCAGTTTAACAATCGGTATGACAGCTTTACTTTGTATATGTCAGCAACCACTTATACGCGTTAGATAAGTAGTGGTTGATATGACTCAGTGTATCCGATTTCCAGCATACTTCATAAAATACTCGAACTTTTCAGTTAAATCTTTCAATAAAACCTACCAGCATTAGTATATGTGTGTGAGCAGATTAACTTATTCGTGAATATAAACCCGTTGCTTCCGAATCATCATCTCAACACTTTATCAAGCGACCTAAGAAAACCATTGGTTAGCTAGTTAACAATGACCACCCGTACCGATCACGTCAGTTTAACAATCGGTATGACAGCTTTACTTTGTATATGTCAGCAACCACTTATACGCGTTAGATAAGTAGTGGTTGATATGACTCAGTGTATCCGATTTCCAGCATACTTCATAAAATACTCGAACTTTTCAGTTAAATCTTTCAATAAAACCTACCAGCATTAGTATATGTGTGTGAGCAGATTAACTTATTCGTGAATATAAACCCGTTGCTTCCGAATCATTATCTCAACACTTTATCAAGCGACCTAAGAAAACCATTGGTTAGCTAGTTAACAATGACCACCCATACCGATCACGTCAGTTTAACAATCGGTATGACAGCTTTACTTTGTATTTTGAACTATATTTTTTACAAATATTGATAAAATCTAACCCAAAACAGAGATTCTGAAAGTTAGTTACTTAGTGAACACTCTAATAGGCTATGTCCTCTTTAGTGGTCGGTTTCAGGCGAAAACATTTGTGTTTAGTCGACTAGTTTAATAACCTTAAACAGCCCCGCAGTCTTCATAGGTAGATCGTATTCTGGTGATGTGTATAACTCTAATCAGTTAAAAAATTGTTGTATAGTCTGGAAAGAAGAATAAATGGTCTAGCTGTCAAGTCTTCGGTGCTAGTGGAAATTCGTCTACCAAGTTTTCTATGTCTCCTATAAGCTGCGTTGTGTAACATTGTGATGTTTTACTTTGGTGGTAAATATTGATAGGCAGCCAATAGGAAACAGTGTTTGACCTCCATTTTTGTGCCCATTGGTTGTCATTAGCATTCTTGAGGAAACTCACTTGGTTTGATTATGTTCTCTAAGATGGCTTGTTTAATCGTGTAGTTTTCATTATCTTTCTAGATAACAGCTCACTTCATACTGAAGTTAGTGCTGATGATGTTATCTAGAAAGACGATTAAATCTCCACGATTAAACAACCCATCTCAGAGAACACAATAAAACCAAGACTATTCACCTGAGCTACAAATATTCCCCACCATTTCAAAAACTCACTTGTCTTCAAAACTTGAAAGTGTGTCGATAAAGACTGATGCGAAGGCGAATATCTGAAGGATCATGAATTTTCTCAAAGTTGTAGGCTAACATGCGCGAAATCTGTGTCAACAGTCACTCAGCAGTTAACTTCAAACAGTTTTTATGTCAAGATTAGGGTCTATTATGCTGAAATGAAATATGTTCCTCTCAATTAAGTCCAAGGAAATTCCGTTAGAAGTGTGACAAATGTTACAAATTCAAATATTATCGTGTGACAGATGTATTTACAAACTCAAATCACAATTTTTCTTCACGTGGATTTTCTAAACCTTTTATTCATATTTTAAAAATGTTAAGGTTAGATTGAGGTCCACGTGTTAATTTCATTTGGTTGGATAATATGTACACCCGCCTTGACCATTAGTTAAATATTGGAGTTCATTCACCAAATATACTACTACTGACTGACATGAGTAGCCATTGATCACACATAACTACCAACAGTGCTCAGTGGATAGCCGTTTCGCTTTCTTCACCCATTTTATCCTCAAATATATACAATCACAAACATATTCTTCTATTCTCTTCTGTTTGAATTTCACAACTAATACCAGTTTATCAAGTATCCCAACTAATGTGGTTCCAATATATGAGAAGTCATCAAAATCAAAAGATGCGAAGAAAAAAACTGTGAGGAATAGTGAAGACTAATCAGAATACAACTGTATCAAGCTGTATCAAGATTACCAAGTTGTGACAAGAAGTTTCGTAGCATGAAAAGACATTCGGAAACTGAAATGTGATGAAGAACAGCATGGAAACAGGAGTGGATAGAACATTACTTAGGAGGGGAGAAATGTTAGGAAAGAAGGCAGAGGTGGTTTCGAATACTGAAGATGTAGACCATTCGAGGTGAAGGTGTTGAACAATCATCTTTAGTGTAAAAAATGTTCACGTTTCTGTATGCAGATGACAAGAGCTTCGTTGATGTAGAGAATATGCAGATAAACAGCTGTTGGAAGGTTTCTTTTCACTTTATAGCTGAGTTTGAATGAGGTGGTTCATGAGATAGGATAGCTTGTGTTCATGATGTGTTCGTTTATAGCACTTCTAATCGCTCCATTGTAAACATACCGGATAGTGCTCTTGAACCCTTCTAAATAATATTCGCATCGAGTGATTTATATATCTGGCTCCAGGTGAAGAGATGATCTGATATGTACACACAAAAGTGGTCAGATGCGGACGTTCATCCTTAGTGTTGTTAGAAATCATAGGTTGACAGAAGAATACAAGTATCTGCGTTGATGAAAAGAATGTTCTCCTCAAACAGCTTGATATCTTCCTGTTTAAAGTGTCAACGACAGAACCACTTTTGGAGTTTAAATTCATTTAGAGTATCTTTTTTAGCACAGTGGTAGGGTTCTATTTGAGAGGTTAAGGCTTGATATGTTCGTCTATGAAGAGGGTGGGAACCCTTCGGGACTACAGGTTCGTCTAGTGCAAGTGGCAAGAGATATGATCAGATCTCTTTTACGACTCACAGGGGCTCAGCTATTAAAGTTCTTCAGTTAGCCATTTCACACT